CTGGGAAAGCTGGAGTGGATTTCTTACCAGCAGTCCAGTGTGGCTGCTGGGCAGGCAGGCAGGGGGCGCACAGGCTGAGTAAGCAGCGCTTAGTGATGCCGGGAGCCGGACTGACGTCATATTCTGGCTCCCGGCTTCATTAAGCGGCGCAGAGGAAGCTGAGCAGGAAGAGCTCAGGTGAGTATGCTCCTTCGCTGCCCGCTGCCAGCCTTGGGGGGGCTCAAAAGTGGCCAGCCGGTCAGCTCTTGAGCCCCCCAGGATGCGAGGCAAGCAAGGGATCTGCCTGGGGGTTTGGAGGGATGCTTTTTTTTGCCGCCCCCTGCAAAGTGGCGCCCAAGGCAGATGCCTTGTTTGCCTCGTGATACACACGTCCCCGGTGCCTGTGTGTTACTGTATTCAGGCAACTTGGTGGGAGGTGGGGGGGGCGCCGTGAAGACTTTTTGCACAGGGCGCCTAATTGCCTAAGGCCGGCCCTGCATAGGAGAGGTGTTAGGGGTCTAGCTTGAGTTTTCTGCACATTATTTTGGAGCTGAGCTCAGTCACCTTGGTCCAGTAGGCCTGAACAGAGGGGAGGGGGGGCAGAACCACCACATATGAATATAATAACCCCTGGCTCCACATAGTCGCCAGCAGGTGTCCGTGGGGGTGAGCTTCATGTGGAATTTTTTGACTGGGGTGGTGTGCGACCTAAACATGGTTTTAAAGGACTGCTCCTGGAAGGTCACACATATTGATGATTGGGCTGTGGCCTCCCAGATATCCCGCCAATCTATGCCTTCTAGTTGTTCTGCCAAGTCAGCCTCCCACTGGTCGGTGTACCTGAGCTCCCCCCACTCCTTGGACTCTACGCTTAGGTGGTTGTATAGTATTGAGATTAGCCCTCTGGGGTGTGTTTACTGGAAACACATTTTCTTAACCCTTTTGCAACCGGTGATGGTTCAGGACCATCATCGATATTTTACCGTTGAGGACAGCTGACGGTCCTGAACCGTCACAACGGTAATATGTACTTACCTGATTGCCGTCGTTCCCCTAGCTGCGATCGGCGGTGCTCCCGGTGTGGGGAGACTGCCTGCAGCCCAGGCAGTCTCCCCACGGCGAATTAGGACCCCAGGGGCCATGTGATCGCTCAACAGAGCGGTCACATGGTCCCAATTGGTGTCCTAGTGTCTGCCTGTAGGAGGACTGCCTGTGCGTCCGCCTCCTCTCTGGTCACCCTTGGTAGAGTCATGCCTGTCATGAAGGACTGTAAGTCCATCTGTTCCTGTTCGGGGTGCGCTGTTCCTGACGGGGGTGTCCATACAGTTCTGAGTAGAACCGAGTGAATACCTGATTTATTTCTTCTGGTGTGTGGACTACGCTACCCGCCTGCGTGTGGATTTTATGAATGGGCTTGAAATCTCCTCTGGGGTGTATGGTCCTGGCTACCATTTTGTTGGACTTCTCGTAGAACAGGCAACTGGACCATTGGACCGAGCGTGCTACACCTTCCAGAGAGAGTTCCCTAATCGAGTGCCGCAAGGCGTTCAGTTCTGTCAGTTTCCCCTCTGTTGAATCTGACGCTTTTTATATAGCAATTTCAACACCAATTTTTTTTCAGATTTATAACATACACACATAAAACAAGGTTTTTTTTTAATATGTATTTCATAAAGCTGATGTATACTACTGCTGTAGAAAACCCCATATTGTGTTCAGCCATATCTACTGAGTAAAACCATACCCCCAATCTATGCCTTTGCCACAATCACGTGAAGTTACAGTGCCATAAAAGAGACCTGACCATTTCAGTTTTCACAGTGATTTTGATAGATGAATTTGATGGAGGCAAATCTCATTTTGGGGCATTGTAGCAGTTTGACTGTCGAATTTATCCCTCAAGGACCTATCATTTGTGAAAGCAGGCACTACAGTGTATCTCATATGGTGAATATTGTGCCTTAACGCGATGGCATTTTCTCACCAGTTTATGTCAAAATTTGTGGTATAATATATATTTTTTTGCATTTTTTTACATACACATGAACTTTTTGGGGGGTCATTTTTCAAGTCTGGTATGTGCCACTGTGATCAAAACCCCATAATTATGCTCAGCAAACTTTTCTGAATAAAACAATACCCCCAATGTATATCTTTGCCACTATCCTGTGAAGCTACAGTGCCTTAAAAGAGTCCTGACCATTACAGTTTTCACAATTAGAGTTTTGATAAATTGATTTGATGTGTCTATATCACATTTTAGGGCATTGTAGCAGTTTGCCAGTTAAAATTACCCCATAAATGCATACCATTTGTGAAAGTAGACACCACGGGCTATGTCATATGGTATATTTTGAGCTTTATTATACAGTTATGTTAGCACCAATTTCTTTCAAATTTTATCATATTGTTTTATTTTTACATTTTTATACAAACATGTTGTATTTTAGTGGTTAATTTTGGAAGCTTGATATATGCTACTGTAAATTAAATCCCTAAATTATTCTCAGCTATATTTCCTGAGTACAAAATGACCCCCGTTATATACCTTGGTCAGGTTTTTGTGAAAATACAGGGCTAAAATCATACCCGGCCCAGTCCATTTTTTTTTTTTTAAAATGGCAAAGTCTTTGTTTCATTTTGGGGCATTTTAGTCGCTCATATATAGAGTTGAGCGGACACCTGGATGTTCAGGTCCAGCGGGTTCGGCCAAACTTTGAAAAAAAGTCTGGGTTCGGGATCGAACTTGACCCCGAACCCGAACCCCATTGAAGTCAATGGGAACCCGAACTCTTGGGCACAAAAATGCCTCTAAAAAAGTCCTGGAAAGGGCTAGAGGCCTGCAAAATGAAGTAAAATGGGAGTACGAGTAGGACAAGTGCCCTGCAAACAAATGTGGATAGGCAAATCACTTAAAATAACATAAAAATAAAAAATACAGCTGAGCCATAAAATAGCACTAGATGGAATCTTTGATTTTAGCTTTGGAAGAACATAAATCAAAATCTAAAGCATGGCATTTGAGAGAGGGTTGGAGAGCAGGGTATTCTCTTTCATTGTTCAAACTGAGCTCAACTCCTGATACATGGAAAAAAAGGCCTTCACAAGACTCTGCATTTGTGTGCATACCGGTAGTTTATACTAAGTGACCCATAGGTTGAGGAGGCGGTGACCGTGGCGGTGTAGGTGGAAGCGGCGGTGGAGGTAGCCAACACTGTTTATTTATTTATTTATTTTTAATTTTTTTAATTGGGGTAGCCCCCAAAATATTGGGACATATAAAAAAAGAAACATTTGAGGCCTGCGGTGCATTTCTTGCAGTCCTTATGCATGGAGAAATGCTCAACTCCTGATGCATGGAGAAAAGGCCTTTAAAAGCCTCTGCTATTGTGTACATAGTTTATACTAAGTGACCCATAGGTTGAGGAGGCGGTGACCGTGGCGGTGTAGGTGGAAGCGGCAGTGGTGGAGATGGGAGCCAACACTGTATATTTATTATTTTTTTTTATTTTATTTATTTTTTAATTGGGGTAGCCCCCAAAATAATTGGGACATATAAAAAAAGAAACATTTGCGGCCTGTGGTGCACATCTTGCAGTCCTGATGCATGGAGAAATGCTCAACTTCTGATGCATGGAGAAAAGGCCTTCACAAGCCTCTGCGATTGTGTACATAGTTTATACTAAGTTTATACTAAGTGACCCATAGGTTGAGGAGGCGGTGACCGTGGCAGTGTAGATGGAAGCCGTGGTGGAGGAGGAGGAGGAGGTAGCCAACACTGTTTTTTGTTTTTTTGTTTTTTTAATTGGGGTAGCTCCCAAAATATTGGGACATATAGAAAAAGAAAACTCTGTTCCGCAGAGCGACTAACCCGTGCGTGCTGCAGCTGAAACTCCACTATCGCCTGCTGCTTGCACAGTCTCATGAGGTGGTGAGCAGCAAGGCCGAAGTTATGCTGCAGCACAGACAGGTGAGCAGCAGCAGGGTGAGAATTCCAAAAGCACCACCAAATTCAGCACATGCGCCAGGCAAGGGATGTGCGTAAAACTGGCTAGGCCTAGAGATTTCACCCATTATCGCACACCACCAGGCCGGGCTTGAGGCTCATTGGCAACAACCACTCATCGGTCTGTTGTTCCATGCCCGTCCCCCAAACATATGAGTTTTAAAACAGCCTGCTGTTATTTCCCCCTGGCTGTGCTGAAGTTGGTGGTGAAGGTGTTACGCTGACCGGATGAGGAAGTGGTAGAGGAGGAGGAGGAAGAAGCTGAGTAGGAGGAGGAGGCAACAGGAGGCAAAGCTGTGTACCCAAATAAAGATTGTCAAACATTGTATCCTCGAACTGTGTCCCATCCAGTTACTGGGGAAATGGGTCTGACCTATTCTAATCACAGGGGATAACCATCGGTTACCCAGGTCCCGCTTCACTTGGTGACAAGCGGCGGGATCCCATGTCCCTGCCAACAGACCCATGGACTACAGTGCTCTAAAGCGACCTGCACTGCAGGACTTGTGTGGAGCCAGAGGAATAATGCCTGGTGGGCGTAACAAGGCGCTCATGGAGGACGACCAGGCATGCAGTGAGGCAACGAACCCCAGCCAGAGGCCGGAGATGAGGAGGAAGTGCACAAGGAGGTGTAACGGTGCCTGGCATATTATCGAGAGCCACCCTCAGAGGAGATTGTCAGCAGGACCTTTTTGGAGGTGCAAGCCTATGTCCTTGCCAATAGACAGAGGGCGACCTCCATGAACCCAGATGAAGGAAGAAGGGAGCAGAGGGCGCCGGGAAGCACAACCACCCTAGCCCACAAGCTACCATACAATGCCTTCAAAGACTTCAAGGAAGACTTCAAGACTTTGAGTGCCATCCTGGCCAGCAAACTAGTGGGGAAGGCTGCAGATATTTACCGGGCTGTACCAGAAGAGCATACCGGGCCCAAATCTTCCTGGCCCGGTATGCGGTCACCCCCGAGCAATACCGACGAAAGTTTAGGGAGACCCGGAAAGGGGAGAAGGACTCCCATGCAAAGTGGGCATGCCGCATCACAAGGGCCACCCAGAACTGGCTCAACTCCCATCAAGCCAAGTTTCCGGAGGAGATCACCCAGCTCGTCATGCTAGAGAACTTTTTCAATGAGCTCCCCAACGACAAGGTGACGACGCATTCGTATGTCCACTGGTAACGGGGAATCAGGGTTCGATTGCAGAGAGGGAGCCTGAGAAATGGCTACCACATGCAAGGAAGGCAGCAGATGCGGGAAGGTAGTGACGACAAATATTGTAACCGTGGGTGGTTCCCTTATTTACCACTATAATGTCTTAAAGCATAGAACTAAGTAGGGCTAACCATACAGATATCTTAGCCATAATTTTATATAGTTAGTAAGAGATCCTCTATTTAACATATATAAATAATTGAGAATACAATATAAAATAAGGATTGTCTTGGAAGCATTAGTTTTGTCTTTTTGGATATTTATTATATAAAAATATAAATATAAAATCCATTATAGCAGAGTTTATAAGATTAAATTACATGCTTGCAAATATCATTAATAGGTTAACATACCCTTCTGAACATGTCATCATGTCAGCCTCTCTGTCATTTTAAGATGGAGCAGCGTCTGTCTCCAAGTCTCTCCTCTGTGTCTTAACATTTAAAAGTACACCTATTTATACCTTAGGTGTCTCCATTTTAGGGTTACCGTAGTTCATTTACTTTATTCATTTTAGGACCTCCCTTAATTTGGCAAACATAGAAGGCCATAACTAAAGGGTGCAAACGTCATGGAAATTTTCCTGACTTAGTTCAAGATGGCATCTTAAAGTCTGAATAGGTTATCTGTTGTTTATACTAAGTCGTAAGTGTACAGTCGTGGGAGATTCCCGGATTTGGGGAAGTTCCATTAACTTGGGGTTACCACAGTATATTGTGTACTGCAAGTGTCGTAGTATAGCCTTGAAGCTTGTTTATGCATTATTGTTATTGTAATTCATCTGGGACAAAATGGCGCAAACATATTATGCACTGAGGTTATTGCTTAAAGAAACAGTTATGAAAAACAATATGTTCTATTTCTAACACCTTGTCAGTTTGCAATATATCTTAAAGACACACAGTTTAATAAATACATTTCATTCTAAAACTTGTAATATTTACATTTGCCCATAACACCCTCTCCATTAAACTGTGGGCACTGTAGACCATTTCTTCCTTAAATTAGTAAACCAAAATTCTCCAACAGTCTTTAGGTGTTTTGTGCTCCCAGAGTCTTTGATCATCATTGTAACAGTAAAACATCCGTAGTGTGATCTTTGCCTGTAAAGGTGGTTGATTAAAATGAACAAAGCTTTTGTCTGGGAAAGAATTGAAAAGAACACCAGGTTCCAGAGTAAGATATTCTTGGATGGATCCGGATACGAATTGTAATCCAAAGTTAAAAGTAGTAATTGTATTTGTAATCCAAAGTCTGTAAAGGCCTGTAAAAGTTTACATTCCTTAGATACATTGCTGGAGGTTGTGTTTGTAGAATACCTGGGTATTTGTTGTAGAGTATAGATTGTAGAGTCCAGCTTTCCAAATATTTGGCTAGAATTGGTGGCAGATATTGAATCAGCATCACCTGTTATCACAGTGGTGATGGTGTTGGTATTTGTCTTTGTCTTTGCTTGTTTGATTAGTTTTTTTCATGAAACATTTTTACACCGTTTATGATGTGTATAGATGGGATGTTCTCTGATATTCTTTTACGGAATCAATTAATTGACATAATTTCCAAGACATTGTCTTAAGTGACATAGATCTCATTATAGTAAATGTTATGTTCATATAGCAATTGAAGTGGATTCTCAAGAACGCCTCTTTTTGCTGTATTGGAATCTTTGTAACATCTCAGTGATAGACATCTCACTGACATCAGGTGCAGTTGTGCTAAAAATGTTAACAGGTAAAATCTGTGGAAAAATCTTTACATTTGTTATACTTTGTATAATAATGATGATAGATGAAATAGTAACATAGTTAATCTTTCTAGTGTTTTGTTTTAAAGATAAACACTCTTGTATATGATTTAGATATAAAGAATAATTTGAAGCAGCAAAGTATTTACCGCCTTTGTTCACAATGGTATGTAAAATTACATTTTCTTTGAATGTTAAAAATACTCCTTTATTCAAAAAACTCTCAATCTATTTAGAATAGTTGCTAATTGGAAATATGACGTTAATTATCTTTCTTTGACCTGTTAGAGAGAAGACAACTTATTCCCTAGTTATTATTGGCTTAAAATACCAGAAACCCCCAAAAATTGTCTTAGAAAACATTTTTTTTTTTACCAGGATCTGACAGCCATTGTGGAAAGTTACATTCGTGAGATTGGATGCTTAACAATGTGAATCTTAATTGTTTAAGTATATTTACCAGCAGCTGTTGGGTGTAGCTTGAGATGATTTGAATATTTATTATTTCTAAAAGTGAGTTAAGAAAGCACTCAGATACAGTATTGAAGGTATTTATATTTTAACACTACCTTTGTATAGGTGGTTTTATGTACCTTTAACCGTCACAAACCAAATAACATTTTCTTGGTATTTGAAAAACTGATAAACTATTTGATTACGTGTATTTTAATATATATACATAGTGTGGTATGGATGTTGAATTTATATCTTTGACATCTTTTCACCAATTTGCAATAGGTGACCTAAATGATGAATTTCCAAAATAATCATGTATATCACCTGGACGGGTTAAGCCACAATATTCCTTTACTTTCCATTGACTGGCCTTAGCTCTGGCAGACTGAATATTTTTATCATTACAAATATAGGTTTGTGATAAGTGAAGTAAGGTTTCTGCCTGTCTTTCAGTTAAATTTTAACTGTTAAAGTATTTCACTTATATTAATTATATTATATTAATTATACCACTCTGCAAACTTAAACGAATATCGAGTAGTTTCTGATTTAATAAAAACTTTCTTTTAAAGTTTAAACATTATTCATTATTGCAGTTGTTATTGTAATCATATGATCTTTAACTATCATGATGCAATTATTCATCTGGGTAATTAGCTGTTATGCTCTTATACTTTATGTCTAATATATTTGTTTGTAGGCCAGACTGCAGCTGCATATGGCATTTTAGCAATAATCTTCAATTGCGTTCAGATATTCACAAAGTCTATCCACCTTTGTAATTAACACATTATGTGTTTCTTATACCATTAATTATAGTATCTGTATTATATTACACATTGTCACTGACACATTTCTGATACAGGGAAAAAAAAGCATGATTGCTTTAGTAATTATAATTTTTCTGTCCATGCACCACATTCCTGGAAGTCCAGAATATAGCAAGAATGCTTTGTCGTTTGATTCTATGGAGCCATTTAACGTTTTGATTGGTATAGTTATACCAAAAGAGCAAGGAGTACATCGGTAGATTACATCTGCAACTGAACCATTACAGATTCCTTGTTGTATCAATGTCTCTGTCTTTATGTATACAGGAGTTCCTTGCTTTACAGGTATGTACATAATATGTAGAGTTTAAGAAACACTGCAAATCGTGCTTTAGTACAAGTGTGTCCCATAATGTCAGGTTTCTGAAAGATTTTGCTGGTCTTTTATATTCCATTCTCTTGGCAGGGTATCTGCTCTTAGTAGGCCGGTCTTATTATTTATTAATTGCATCAAGGTTTCTTTCGTTAATTGATGTGTTTCTTCCGAATTCAAATTCATATGCCACCAAATGTCATTGTAAAGTTCATTGTTGCAGAATATTGTTCCAGGATGGTTTTTCACTCCAGTAGGAAATCTATATTTCTCTTCTTCTGCTCCTTCTTAGTAACCACTTTTTCTGAGTTGTAGGCAACAATCTGTGTCTTGTACTGTGAGGTGCTTTGATAGTCAGTCAGGTTTTCTCAGAACCATGTTCCATCTTGAAAAACAGCTGGGTGTTGACAGTTATCAGCCTTTGTTTCTTTTTCCGGTCATCTTCTGTCTGGAAGCATAGCAATGTCCAGAATTAGCATAGCACTTCTTTTCAGCATAAGAAGGCTGTTTGCGCTAGTCATTCAATGATAAACTATATGGCAAAGTATTTTCTTAATCACCTTCATAGGTGCATCCAAAGTCTTTCACAAGCATCTGTCCCGTCTTTTTCTGTTTTCAGCATGCTTTGCCATCATCGTTGAGTCCATTATTAGGATTTGTAATAGTCCAATCACATCTTTCTCATGTATAATCGGTTTTTGAAATGATCTCAATAGGTTCCTTGTGAAATACCAGTGTAAGTCACATTAGCAATCATTTCACTGTGAGCTGTGTCTCTCCTTTTGAGATAGTTCTTGGAGGTAGTCCTCACGATCACAGAACTTGTATAGTGTGCAGTCCAATTCAGTTCAGGTGCTTCCTGCTTGTTAACATAATTCCAATGCAGTTTTAAAACAACAGCTAGGGTTGATGTTATGATAATGCTGCAGATTGTAAGAAGGAGACACAATTTTCTAGCATCCTTTTGCTTCCATCTTTGCATTTCTTTCTTACTGTATAAGATAATTTAGGTTCACTCTGTTTTCTCCAGAGTCTTTCTGATAATGATGTTGATGATTCATTTTTCATACATTCCATGTTAACTGTGAATGTATCACATCTGTCTGTTCATCCTTCTCCTTCACATTTGCAGGTTCAGATGTCAGATCATGATTTAGTCTGTTACGTTGCTATGATTCTGGTGGCATTTCTGTCGTCCTCTGTTTGTTTTATCTTGCCATCTTTAACAGCATCCATTGTGTCAGTCAGTGGTTCTGTGAATGTCCTGTTAGTATTTTAGCAGGTTGTAAAATATCAAATTCACTGTTCTCTGTTGGCTCTGATTGTTCTCTGTAGTAAAAGTTCTCTGAGTCACCCTCTCCAGGACAAACTGGCCAACAGTAGGAAATAGGTGGTGGTGCATGGTGAGGTGGGCTGGAAAAAAACAATTCCCTAAATTTCTCTAATAGAACCAATGGTTCTAAGCTCTCCCTGGTGCAGAAATTTAATTGTCAGTGAAAAAACATGTAACATTTCATATGGTGTCTCAACATTTGTATCATCAGGTATGTTGTGAATGCTCATCTGTACCATTGGAATAAATAGATACCACTGTGTGGGGCAAGCAACTAGTAACTTGGTTTATAATCATTTAACCTCAGCATTTTCCCAGACCACAACCCCACTTCTTTGGGGGTGGTTGGCACACTGAAAT